GGGTGTAGATTTCTGGTTTTGTGGTTAAGGGACCTCAAAAAATCTCGCTGTTAAGTTGAGGGACCTCCGGTGAACTTATTCCTTCTTCCCCACACAGGCAGCTTCACATGCCCGCCACTTGTTCGACGAAATGTCGAGGCGGGCGAGCGACGCACCGAGTCGCGCTGCAAAGGGCACACAACGTCATGCACTGCCCGAGTTGTGCTGCATCACGTCATGCCGCTCCACGACGAATCCCGGACACACCTCCACCTTCCCGCCCGCAAAATCCGACTTCCTCGCCTCCCAGTACACCACTCATGTTGGCTGATGTGGCTGGCATCATCACGCTGGCCCCACTCCGATGCCGCCCAAACTGTAGCCGCACGACACCTCGCCCTAGCCCTGTCTTTTTCCCTATTGTCCGTGCCGCACCAACGCCGATGCACTCGGTGAACCGCCTCGCGTTTTCGTGCTCCAGCTCCCGCAGTCACGCGTCCTCGCGGAAAGTGTGAGCCGAGCTCATGCCACTGTCGCCGCCCCTATGCCACCATGCCCACTTCCTTCCCCTCGAAGCCATCCCATCGCCAGCCAAGACAACAGTTATTAGGCCAGTAGCAGTGCAAGACATGCTTGGCGTGCCTCCAGCCCATTCCAACAAGGATTTTGGCCAAAAATTCATCTCTAGGTCACCCACCCCACAGTGCTGGTACCCCACGCCTTCCTCCTCAATCTAATCCCCACGCCGCTTTTCTCGACTTTTCATCCCCACGCGCTGATTCTTGTCAGGCCGCCTCTTTCCTCTCTACTCTCCCCTCTCCACCTCTCCCGCGGTGGCGGCGTCCTCGACGGCGGAGGCGGCGCGATGGCCTCGGCGGCGGAGGTCCTCAAGGTGGCGGACTCATATCTAGACAGACAGCGACGCGACGGCCCACGCGGCGGCTCGGCCACCACCGACGTCGACGTGAGGCAGCTCCAACCGACGGCGACGCGGCAGCCCACGTGGCGGCGGCAACGGCTCGGCCGACGACGGCAACCTCGGCGGTTGCCTCGTCGTCCTCCGCGGATCTGGAGCAGTGGCACAACGTCCTCGGGCTCGTCTTCGGCCGGCGCGGCGTCCACAGCAATCTCGAGCGGCGCGGCGTCCTCGGGCTTGTCTCTGGCCGGCGCGGTGGCCTCGGCGGCGGAGGTCCTCGAGGCAGTGGCTTCCTCGGGGCCAAAGCGGCGACGGTGGCGTCCTCGGCACTCCCTCCGCCGTCCGCTATGCCCTCGCCTTCCCTCTGCTCCAACCGACGGCGATGCGGCGGCCCACATGGGGAACAAGCGAGGGAACGACCTCCACAGTGCAAGAAACGGCAACACGCGCCCTCGATTTCGACGAGATAACTCGTCGCCCAGTTGGGGGGCGAGCAACCAAACAGAGCTCCGCGCCCTAGTGCCACGCAAGCTCGAATCCGATGTGTCGAGCTAAAGCACCGGTCCATGGTGTTGCACTGTGAAGGGCCTTAGATCTACCTCGAACCACCCAATCCTCCACCCTTCGCCCTTCCAAACATCGCCGCCACCCTCGCACTCCCAAGTCGGTCCGTAGCGCGCGGACGAGCACATTGTGTGCGCTCGACGCTGCGTCGCTCGGACCCACGCTACGACCGCTCCGTCCTGTACGCGACCGCCGCTGTCTCTGCTCCACCCTCCTGACCGCCCTCAACTCCACCGCCGTCAAAGCGAGGCCAAGCCAGCCCGTGCGAACTCCCACGGCCGCCTCTGCCTCCGTCTGGCTAGACAGTCATTGAGGCTGCCGCTGCCGCCCTTGCCCTGGCCCGGACCGCCATTGCACCAAGTCAGGCTCCCGCGTGACCGTCTCCTCGAACGCCTCCTCTAGGACACCGACAGCCAGCCCGCATCAACTCCTCCCCACACCTCCTTTGCCCCGCTGCCTCCCTCCATCGCTGCGCCGACCACTGTCCACCGCCCTCTATCTCGACCTCGCTGGAATAAAAGAAGGGGATCGAGAGAGAGACAAGGACTCAAGGAGAGATCGAGAAGGAGAGGAGAGAAGAGAACAAAAGGGAAAGAGGAGAGGAATAGGACATTGACAGGTGGCATCCCGTTGGCCCCATAATCTTGCTTAATCTTGCACAATAATTACCTCCCTTTTTCTTAATTAATCTTGCACAATAATTACCTCCCTAATCCCTCTCTATTGTATCACTGACAAGTGGGCTCCACCATGGTTAATTTCTGTTTAAACTCTCTTAATCTTTGAGTCACTTACAAGTGGGACCCCACCTTATCCACCCGGTCGACACGCACCCAGTCACCGACTGCCAAATCCGACGCTCACTGGCAGGCGGCCATGGACCGGTTCCACCACCGCCACCTCACCGCTCCGCACGCCGGGTTCCACCACACCGACCTCTCCCAGCTGTTGAAAGCGGGCCCCGCAAGGAATATTCCTTTCCAATAAAAGAAACTTATTTTCCTTCGTACAAAAAATCAATGAAACTTCAAAAATTCATATCTTGCAAACCGTAACTCCATTTGACTCCGTTCAACTTTCATATTTTTTATAAAAATGATATCTATCTAATGGAAGTTCTATCTCTCACTGTTTTAGCTACTTTATTAGCTTTTGTGTTGATTTTCTCCTTTTACGCGTATAGTTGCCAAACCTTAGAACGGTCCGGAAGTTGTTCTCGATGAGGAAGAACCACCGCAGGACCAAGGCAAGCCACCTTTGACAATATTGCCTCCAATAGGTGGAAAATTATGTTGTTTGCATAGGTTACACATTAAATTGTTTGGCCTCGGTTGGCGAACGCCACCGGTGGACCTACCTATTAGTCGCACATATATTTTGTAGGTTATGGGAATAACATACCTTTGTTAGCCCTACAAATGATGCACTGACGTCTTACCCTACGGGTATGATTGCCGAGGTAGTTTTGTTTAGCCCTGTTGCGATTGTATTGTCATGTGGGCACAGCCAAGGTGGTGGCGGGGGTGGCCTCAGCTGCTGGCAGCGATGACGTCGCGCCCACCCGAACCAGGCGATGCCTTGAGGGGTAGGAAGGGTTAGGGTTTGCCTAACCGCACCCCGCCTCCCCTACCTTAAGTCGGCTGGGCCAGGCTGGCCCATTAGCCGCCCACGCTAATGGGCCACCACACCCCCCCTCCCCCAAACCTGCCGATGGGCCAGGCCGCGCCCGCTCCTCCCCACCTCGCCTCCATGGACCGACAGTGGTGGTGGGCCGAAACCCACCACCCAATTAGCGTTCATGGAGGCGAGGTAGAGATGCGCGGGGGGGGGGGGGGTGTGTGGCGGCCCATTAGCGTGGGCGGCTAATGGGCCGGCCTGGCCCAGCCGACTTAAGGGAGGGGAGAGGGTGTGGTTAGGCAAACCCTAACCATTCCTCCTCCTCGAGCCGCCGCCGTCGCCGCCTGGCTCGGGTGGGCGCGACGCCGAAGACGAATGCAGCCGAGGACGCCCCCAATGCCATGGTGTCGCTGACGCCGCCACCCTGCACACCCCTCCCCCCCTCCTCCTGGACTTCATTGCTCCCTTTGCTCAGACCTCCCACTCACTCGAGGATGGAGGACGACTAGGCTTGCCACTGCCGCTTGTCTTGGCCGGGACATGCCCGTTCTTGATGATGCGGCGGGGGTCGGGGAATAGAGGGGTCGGTGGAGGGGCGGAGCTCTCGCCGGAGCCCCATGCTGCCATGTAGAAGGGCGGGGCTCCACGACGTGCAGCGAGGGTTCCAATGAGGAGGAACTCCAGCGGAATAACCGGTGTAGGTATGTGCAGCGGCGTCTCTGGTGAGTAGTCCGGCGATGGTGATGGCGCGGCGAAGATGCTTTGTCCAGCCGTGATGAGGACAGAAGGCCGTCACCACGTCGGGCATCTCCTGCTGCGGCCGCACCCTCACTGTCCACCCATGGGACTCGCAGTGATGCGGTGACTCCACCAGAATTCATTCTGGTGCAGCGCACATGACGGGCACCATCGGAGGCCCTCGGCGAGTCGCGAGGGTGTTGGAGTCGGTGTTGCCGGCTCTGGTGTTCCTTTGGGCAGTGGCGCCATCATCGTGGTGTTGTCCTCCATGTCCAGCGAAGCTAGGGGGAGGAGACCGAGGGCACGGCCGGCAATGCCCGCACCACGGCCCCTGCTGTGTCGAGTACGGCGCACTAGAGCCCGGATGATCCTCTCAAGCTGATGCATGAGTTGACGGAGATGGCGAGCACGGATGTTGCGAGGAAGGGAAGAACCGGCATCGAGAGAACAGGATGTGCCATCTTACCCTCCACGTGCAGGTGAGTTTCACCGTTCTTTCTCAGTAGAGCGTTGCTGATAACGTATTAGAGTACAAAATGAATGAACAGTGAAAGTGTGAATTCCCTCTCTTTTCATTGATCTCAAATGTCCCCTTTTATAGGGATGATTTATGTATTACATGCCTAGGATTCTCCTAGGATTTAAGGAGGTTTTAAGCCTCTAAATGTGGTTGTTATATGACACAAATTCTCCTTAATATGGCTGTTACAAGATTGATGATTCATTTGATTGCTGTCATTGTTGCGCTTTGATGAGATCAAATATGGCCTAATGATGGCTTTTGTAACAATTGCAAGCCAAGAGTGACAGAGAAGCAGCACAGATGACCAAATTTGCTTTCTTGAGGTTATTTTTGGACAATTTTGTCCATCCTCTCAGTGGCTACTATTGTCAATATCATACTTAAAACAGTAGGAAATACAACTAGCTGCAAGGTTACGCATGTGAAAGGGGATTTTTTTTTTTAATGGTAGCTGCCCTAGGATGAATATGGGCTGTCAATTGCTCTTGATCAAATGGATCATATTGTACTATACTACGCCGTACGGCCGTAGTAAAGGGTAGTCAGAATTTTTGGCAGTGAAGTTCATTGCTATTCTTGTAACTAAAGGTTGTAGATAAGTGAAATTTATTCTTCCCCGCAAAAAAAAAAGAGAGCGAAAATTACTCTTACGAAAAGATCAGATACTAGAAATTAAAAAAAAAATGCTGGGTTCTTATCTCTCTTATATAGTTTGCAACAAAGCAAGCTTCCTCATTTAGCTATAGCATCACTAAGTTACAAACATTATGATAGCAGAATAAATAAATTAGGCTATGGATATGCACATTTATTTGAAAGCTCGCAACCACATGTGTATGCTGTCATGAGGTTATCACAATCTTTGGCCCTGATGAATTGGTAGCGTGCAACCAATACAATACAATACAATTCTCTGCTAAGACTAATTCTGATGAGAGGCATTTTCATCTTCTAGTGTTCCCACATTTCCCTAGATCGTCAAGGTGAGTTTCCATTAAATTTCTGAAAAATTGCAGCCGTGGAGCAACCAAGCAGGAACAGGCCCAACGCAATACCCAAAGACATTCTAGTTCCCATGACACCATTCCATGCTATTTTAGCAAGAAAAAAAATACAATCTAAAATGGCAACAGATAGAACAGAAACCCAGAAAATAACTGCAAGAAAGCAAGTTACCTGTTCGCCCCCCTGTCCTGGCCGGCGGCGAGCAGCACGCCAGCACCGCCCAGTCTTTCTTTCACATCGATCCTTCCCAGCAGGACATGATGGCTTCACACAGCCGAGTGAGTGTTGGAAATCATCTCCTGCCGTGCATACGCACATACCATGTATAGATAAATATAGTTAGAACTCAAAACGCTGATCATAATAATAGACAGTTCAAAAACACTAGTTACTAGTTGCTACAGCAACAAATTGTATTCAGTAATGATGCATAATATTTCAACCATCACTACTTTTGCTGCAAATACATCATCTTCGTTTTTTGTCACTGGTAGCATCTCCACTCATAACTAATCAACAAAAGATAGTAGCAAATGTGCCACTGGTAGCATCTCCACCCATAACTAATCAACGAACGTTAGTCAAGCAATAGCCTAGAACCACATGTAATCCTAAAAGAAGAAGAAACAGCAGATAGCAGAGAAGAGCAACCATGTTATGAGTATCCGGTAATGATCAGATGGGACAGGAATGCGAGGTAGTAGGGCGTGGCTTTGGCGGCTTAGACAATGAACAGCCCATGGTGATCACGGCAAAAGCACAGCAGCAGGAGATGAGAAAACTGAGAACAAGGGGATGAAGAACTGAGATTGATCTTGCTTGCTCTATTCATCTAAAATGGTGCCATTTATATGGCTTACATGGCTAAACCGAATGCTAAACAAAAGGAAACCAGATGCTATTTCAAAGGGATAAGAAATGCAATCTAAACGAAGCAAAGCACTGTGATCCAAGCACCCGATTACGCCTTCACTCGCTGTGCGTCCTTTCTGGCATCTGTTCCTGCACATCTGCTGGCAGCCCAACAGCTCCCGATGAGGCTGGCGCGCGCTTGCGCCTGCGGTACACAACACCCACTTACCCAGAACTGAAGCATAGAATGGATGTTGAACCCACGGCAGGACCAGGATCAATGGATAAGGAAACACCTCCAACCTTAGGAGCAGAATCAATGAAACTGGTAGACTGTTCTAATAAAATGTTAGCTTTGCATTCATTGGCCCTACCGCAATACAGATAGGAATCTGAGATGAGCTGAAAGATACATGAAAAGTAAGCATCTGCCATCTTAGGAACAAATTGATCTGGACCTATTTTCTCTTTCTTCTTTACAAAAATCAAAGGTATGGATGGTGGGCCAAGATCTCAACAGTCAGCACTATTGTTCTAATTTTACACGAGTTGAAATTTAAGGGTTATTACCTTTTGTATGTAAGTACAACTTGAAATTCTTGTCAGGAAGAATCTGCATTATTCTACGATCACCCACTGGACATACAGCTGCCATCTGTAGAACAATGTCAACAAAAGGGTTAACAGATGGAAAGTACACACTTTCAACAAGAGGGGAAATACATACCAGGTCACCGAGCATGATGAAATCAGCGATGAACACCATGATATGACCATTTCATTTTGATTGAACAACGGATGCTACGGTAACTTCAAAAGCCGCAACAACCATCAAATATAACATAGAGAAGCACATGTTTCTAATACACTTCAACCTGGTCAGCCAAAATGGTAAGTGGCTTCCTGACAAAGTTTTGTACCATAATTCCCCATGTGCGCTCATTAGGTACTATTCCACCACTTACTGCCCTGTTTAGAAGCATAGCAGCATCATCAAGCAATCTGACTTTGCAGTGCCAACTAATGAGAATATTGTATGTAATAATATCAGGATGCACATTTTCATTGTGTAGCTTCTCTAGGAGATTGAGAGCGGCGTGCATCCATCCCATTTTGCATAATCCATTTATGAGTGTATTGTAAGTGACAATGTCAGGAGCAAGCCCTTGATTCAACATCTGCTTTGAGAGCTCTAGAGCATCACGTACCCTTCTCTCCTTACAAAGCTCACTGATCAGAATGTTGTATGAAACATTATTTGGCTTAATACCCTTTTCTGCCATTTCTTCAAGAAGCACAAGGCTCCGATCAACATTCCCATCTTTGCACATGGCTTTTATCAGCCCGTTGTAGCTAACAACATCAAGTGAGCAACCATGAAGTATCATTTCCTTCGCAAGTCTCACAGCATCCTGCCACCTTCCATCACGCAGCAGTGCATGAATGATTGTATTGTAAGTTATACCATTTGCAACAACACCCTCCTCAAGTAAGTTTTCAAACATATGTTCTGCTTCCTCCATCTGTTCATTGTTGCACAAGTGATAAATTATTGTATTATATGAGCAAATATCAGGGTTACACCCTTGACTTCTCATCTCTTGAATGAGCCCCATCGCCTCGTCCATCCTGCCATCCTTGCATAGTGCATATATCATTCCATTGTACCCTTGTGAATTCAAAGTCAAGCCCTTTGCTGACATCTCCTCCAGCAATGCTCTTGTGTCATCCCACATGCCATTCTTGCAAAAGGAATGTAGCACGATCGTGTAGGTGACTACGTTCGGAGCAAATCCCTTCTTCTCCATTTCTCTAAGCAATCGCACAGCGGAACCGATCCTTCCAAGCTTGCAAAGACCATGCATCAATATACTGTAGGTGTGCGCGTCTGGTTGGCAGCCCTTCAAACCCATTGTCTCATACAGCTCTGTAGCCTCTGCTAGCTTCCCCTCTGCGAGACAGCCGCCAATCACCGTGTTAAACAACACGACATTCAGCTCCGGCACCCTCCCGAGCATTGCCCGTGCCTCATCAGCCTGCCTCACCCTGCACAGTCCCTGCAGGAGGAAACCATACGTCATCACGCCGGGCATGCAGCCTTTCGTCATCATCCTGTCAACCAGCCTCGCCGCCTCGCGTACCCGCCCGAGGCCGCACATCCCACGCACGACATCGTCGAACGTGTTCACGTCCGCGGCGCAACCCATGAGGAGCATCTCGTTGAGCAGCGTGGCGGCCTCGGTGACCCCTCCCTGATCGCACAGCGCGTGGATCACCGTCTGGTAGAGCACGGCGTCGGGGACGCACCCGTGCCGCGCCATCCCGCGGAGCAGCGCGAGCGCCTCGTCGGCGCGGCCGAGGCGGCAGAGCGCCCGCGCGGCGACGCCGAACGTGAAGGTGGTGGGCGGGACGCGGTCCCTGTGGACCATCCGGCGGTAGAGCGCGAGCGCGTCGGCGTGGCAGTCCGCCCTGGCGAGCACTGACAGGACGACGTTGTAGGAGCGGAACGACGGCTGAACACCGAAGCGGCGGGGCAATTGGTCGAGCAGGTGGAGGGCGCGACCGGGAGGCAAAGATCGGAGCAGCGGGAGGAGGAGGGACTCGCGGAGTGGGAGGAAGCCGGGCGGGAGGGAGTCGAGGAGGGAGAGGGCGCGGTCGGGGTCGCCGCCGGCGAGGAGAGGGCGGAGCGGGAGGGAGGAGAGTGCCGGGTGGGAGGAGGCGTACCAGGTGAGGAGGAGGAGGGAGGTGGCCGGGGAGAGCGGGAGCGCGAGGAGGCGGCCGAGGCGGCGCGGGGTGAGCGGGCGGGAGGCGAGCGTGGCGCGGAGGCGGGAGAGGTCGAACGGCGTGAGGAGCTCCGGCCACGACGTCGCCGCGGCGCCGGCGGCGGACGGCGGGAGGCGAGGCGGGTGGTGCTCCGCCATTTGTATCACTCTTTTGGGGTAGTGCAAGTTCAGTTGTGGCGCACATGCTCGATGCCTCAAGGTAGTACAAAACTCAGGCGAAAATTCGACGGAATTCAATGAAATTCTATGAATTTCGGTGAAGTTTCTTCGAAATCTATCGAATTAGCGATAACCCCCTATCTAATCAATGACGTAAACCCTAACGATAGGAGCCGTCTGATATTGTTTACTAGTGTTTGGTCGCTAATAATTGTGCTATTACCTTATTTATTCATCATTAAGTCAGCCAACAACAAATACTACCAATCTATATACCTAATTAAAAAATATGTAAGGCTCAGACACGTAACTCCTCTCTCCCCGTGCGCCTCCGCCTCCTCCTCCCTCCCCCTAATCCCTTCCTCCCGGCAGCCTCCATCTCTCTCACGATCCCAAAAAAAATAGTTCGACCCGGCCTCACTACACGTGCTCCCCCTTCCCTCACGGCCTCCAGGGTATTTTAATATGAAGGGGCAAATTGTAATTCTTCCACCACTCTTCGCCGTGGAGGGAGCTAGCTGTAAATATGTTGCCTACATAGAATGTCATGTTGACGATTAGCTCGGGTCAAATGAGGTTTGGACCGACTATGGTTCATTAAACCAGGATGGTGGACTTATATGTGTAATTTTCAAGTTTAGGGATCTAAGAAACACCTGCTCTCAAGTTTAAGGATTAGCCATGTATTTTACTCAAAATAAAATAACCTAGAACTGAATTAGAAATAATCTAACGTTATGAGTCTATATTTTGGAAAAGAAGTAGTAAATAATTTTTTGATCACTGTTCGAGCTACAAACAATGTTAAGTCCCTATTTGGTATAACTCCCGGTCCAAGATTTCTTCGAAACGGGATATTCCTAGCTTCACAAATCCATGATAATATTTAGTTGAATCTTATTTTTCTATTTTAAATGAAATATAAAATTTTAAACCACTATAATTTAACATGTAAACTTCTAATCTAGTATGGTATAGAATAAAAGAGTAAATTACGTTTAGGGCCATCTTTTATCACCAAAGTTTCACTTTCGACAACCCTTTAAACCATCTCTTTTACTTTGGACTAGATTAGTTTGCCTTTGTTTCACTTTGAACCACCCCCAAAAACTTTTCTCGAGCACATAAATAACTTTAATCACATCGGCACTCATAAACCGATAATCTTCCCAATTTACATGTAGACTATTCTTTACGAGATTAGAGGGTATATGCAGCTAGAAAAAGTGACTTGGGTGGTCCAAACTGCAAATATTAGCTAGAGGGTGGCCCAAAGTGAAACTTTGGAAATAAAAGGTAGACAAAGTGCAATTAACTCTATTTAGAATTCTTTTATAAAGTTTTTACTAGAAAAATGCTCATACGTTGCAACAGGTAAACTAAAGTTATAACAAATATAAAAATATTAGATGATTAGGGTTTAGTTTTTATGTATGAGCCTTTAAAAATATATATTCCTCCAGAAATAAAGAAAGTAAAAAAAAGAAAAAAAAAGACCTCTGACTCACCAACCTGCTAGGGCATTCGCGCGCGCGACCCATGAAGCGCGGTAGCCCAGCAGTGCTGTGGCCTGAGTATGGGGGCTGACTCAACACGCGATCAATCTGAGCTGTTCAATTTGATGGACGGCTGAATCGGTTCCAACTCGTTCAAAACCGCTGGTGCAAAAAACCCTAACCCCAGATCGAAATTTTCCCCTCCCCTCCCTCTACCACGGGCCACTTGTCCCTACCAGTGGTGCCTCTCCTCCTCCTCCGCTCCCTCTCCGCTCCTCCCCCTTCCCCCACCAGCGTGATCGCTCCCTCTCCACCGTGGGTCATCTCTCCCTACCAGCGGCTCCTCTCCCCTCCCCTCCCCTCTTCTCATCGGCAACGTCGCTTCCCCTCCGCAGCTCACCCTCCCCCCACTAGCGCTCTCCCTCCCATCACCGTCGATCCCCTTCCTCCTTGTCGGGGTGCCGCTGCCTTCCTACTCCTCGCAAGATCTGGTCTGAGGCTCGTCAGATCTAGCCTTGGGAGGCGGTGACGGGCAGCGGTGGCGCAGCTCGACCGAGCACCACTGGTGGCCAGTTCGCACCCCCTTCTCGCCGGATCTGACCTCGGGAGACGGTGACGACAGCTTGAAGGCAAAGGCAGTCCCACACACTATGAAGCTTTAGTTTTTATAAAATTTGAATTATTCATAGTGCAAGTGGTTTTAATTTTATATTTCAGTCCCTAATACTTTTCTTTTCAGTTCTTATAATATTATCTTCAGTTTATGTGAAGATCTAAAATTTACAATAAACACCCTAAAATCCAGAAAAAAATTAGAAATAATTTTCTTCGATGACGGCGGCGGCGGTTTGACAGCGGTGGCAGCACGACGACGGGGGCGGCATGATGATGGCATCCCGTGCCCTCTCCATGGCGGGGGGAGTAGTCCGATGACGACGGCGGCGACTCGACAACGGCGGCGGGGCCGGCACGGCGGTGGCGGCCTCGACGACGACGGTGGCGAGGGGACTGCTGCTTCGCATTTGAGGACACGGTCTCTCCAATGCGGTTTCGCCTCTCTCCTCGCACGTCACGGAGCTTCCTCCTGATGACAGGTTCCGACGAAGTTCGGATGGCCACGCCCCCCGTGGCTCAGAATCTCTGCGCTTGAGAGGTGAGACCGAACTGTGAATGGCTCATGGGCCGGCCTCTGGGCCTTCAGGTACACGTCATCCGAATTCTCCACCACAGGGCCCGGCCCGTCTATCGCCATGACTAGCTAGGGTTTCAAAGCCTCCATATAAACTACTCGTCCCTCCCTCACTTAGCTCCGCACCCAAAGGTTACCGCCGCCGCCGCTCCATCTTCCGCCATTGACGAGCAGATCTGAGTTATTGATTGGGTCTCGTTTGGTTTTTTTTTTCTCTCTTTTTCCTTTTTGTTCTCCGTTGCGATGAGTTTGCCATCGAGAAAGAAAGCTGAGTTCGTTTCTTCTGCCTTTTCACTTGTTATTATTATGCCTTGGTGTCTGGCTGGCGGATTGGACGACGGTGATGAAAAACCGCAAGAAAAACACACCATCTTTCGGGGCTGATTTGGCGCCGCCGCGCGTGCAATGATGCTAATTCTGCAATTCTGATGTCCATTGCTGATCCGTTGCTACCAAGACTGTTCTTTCGTTTCTTCCTCAAGTTCTTGGTTTTTTTTCTTCTTTTAAACTTTTCTTTTGTTGCTGCATACTAGTAAGAGTTAAGAACGAGTCCCACTGTTGTCTGCGTTGGCCGGTGAAGAAAACCTCGATTAAAAACACCATCTTTCGGGGCTGATCGGCCGCCGCTCGGCGGCCATGCTGCCATTCTGCAATTCTGAGGCCAACCCAATCTGGAGATGATGTTGGTACTGCCATTATAGTTATTGTTGTTTTTTATTTTTATTTGATTTGTTTTTCTATGGATTTGTCGGGGACCTGTGATGAAATCTGGAACCAAAAATACCATCTTTCGGGACTGATTTGGCTTTCAGCAGCCATGTTGTCACTTCCAAGATCCTGAGGTCTCACTGTTTTCGACTTTTCGTACTTCATATTTCATCTAATTATTACTGACTAGATAATGCAATTCCAAATTGGAAAGAATGAACTGCTGATTAGTTTGCGCCGCTCCAATGAACAGGGCTTGTGGATCTGTGAAAACCCAATGGACGTAGATGATGAACGAGGCATACAAATCATAAGTTTGTGTTAATATCCTTCAACATCCAAGTTATTATATTCATTGTAATCTTGAAGGTGAAATCAATCCAAAGCAGGGAAATATATGTCGCCAAGGATTATTGTTCATAGAGATCTGTTTTGAGGACAATACGCCGTTGCAAAATCAGGCGTGTAGTACCAAAACTGCATGCAATTCCATTCGCAGCCTATTTCCTGGAAGACCTCAGAACCTCGTTTGTGGCTGTAACTTCAAACTTATTTGGCACCTGATGGATTATGCCTATGTATATGTAGCAACCAGTATTGACTAACTTCAAACTGGTGTGGCAAACCTGATGGATTGTGATTATGTACTGCATCTGTATATATCAGTATATGTAGCAAGTGGCAACCAGTATTACATGTAATCGCAAGGTGTAATCAACTAACCAACATGTTTTCGTTAGCCTACAATGACTGACTGCATAAGCCTCATTTTAGAGGCATAGGCATTTCTAATGAATTCTCAGTTTCTCACTGGCATAAGAATCGGCATTTCAACGAAAAACAAATTGACCTTATTAAGGCTGCGATCGGCATTTGGTGTTAACTAATCCCACACAGACTCATTAGCACATGATTAATCAAGTATTAGTTTTTTTTAAAAAATAAAGGGTTAATATGATTTTCTAAAACAACTTTCGTATAGAAAACTTTTTTTTAAAAAAAACCACACACCGTTAAGCAGATTGAAAAGCATGCGCATGAAAAAAAGAGAAAGTTGAGTTGAGAAAGAAGGGGAAAAGAACACAACATAAATCAATTAAGCACATATTTAGTCCAAATAGTACTTACATCATTTTCATCGTTACAATGATTTTGAAGAGCCAACATAAAATGGGAGAGAACTTTATTAAAGGATAGTGTAATAATATGAAATGTGAGACCCAAATGTTAGTGTAGGGGATGATATAGCAATGAACATTTTATTTTCTAAAGGAAAAAAAGTAGGAATTTTATCAAATGAAATTTGCAAAAGTAGAAAAGATTTCTGACACAAAACCAACGAACACTGATATTAGATTCACCAGTTATAATCAACAACTGGAAACATAAAAGGGCATGTCAAGCAATATGGACCAGAAATGTCCTCAACTCAGTTTCCCAGAGCGGTATTAGTCTTCAAAAAATTCAGATGCCAAGCAATATCAGATATTAGTCTTCAAAAAATTCAGATGCTTGTATCTGGCAGTATGATATCGCCAAGCTAACACGTTGCCATCTAAGAAATGTTGTGTCTTCTTAATAACTGGAGCATGGAGCATGAGAAACATTAAACTGTGCACCAAAACTTAGCGCAAATCACCCATGACACATAAGCGACATTACAGTATGAGATGGGAGTGTTTCAGTAGAGCATTCAGGAATCTCTGACAACTCAACGACTTGAGAAGCTCATCAGAATCATGCCGCCTAGTTCAAACTGGCCTGCTGTCGACCATCAGGGATAGCGAACAAAACCACCGGCTTCGAGGATCTGACAAAAGGGGCATCGCACCTGTAATAGCCTTTCCTCTCAAGCTGTATGACCTCCCCACGCAGGAGGTTCCTCATATTTGCGTCTCCTAGGGCCAGGGTTTCTTTCCGAGTGCATGGGTTCAGGTTGTCAAGGAAGTTCTCATCCTCCTCAAGCTGTACACATGGCCACAAACATAGAAGACATTCAGTGTTAACTCATTGATAAATGAACGAGTAATATAGGAGCTAACTCCAACCAAGAAATGGTTCACATTTTGCATGACAAAAGAGAGAAGGTTTAGTTCCACAATTTTTTTAAAAAACATTACTGTACAGGAAAATATGATATCCACATAGAGAAACTAGAGAAAAGATAGCATGTAATATCAAGTAAAAAAGACAGACTATTTGAGTTAAGGCAAGCAAGAAGCTTTCATGCTAACTACATCTAGCTGGAATTGCTAACTCACCTTCTTCTTGCTAATCAGGTAATCAAATTCCACCAATGAGAGAGGAACCAGATCATCTATGTCCGGAAGCCATGTAACCTTCAATTTTGTTGTCTTCACAGATCCCTCAAGATGTAGTTCTCCAATCAGTTCAGTAATTACTCCATTCTCCATCTTGATTTCTTTAATGATGGCATTTCCCCAGTCCATCAGAGTAACTTCCTCACCCTTGCTAATTGCAGATGCATCAGCATAATCTAGCCAAATTCTGTTTGTGAAGGTTGTTGCCTTCTTTCCTGCACCATCAAATTTCTTGTGCCTTGGCAAAATTTGAACAAATGATTTCTCTGGACCATTAGTAAGCCTGAAGATCACACGCTGATCTTTCAACACAGCAGTATGCCTTGCACAAACTGGGTCAATTATTTTCTTGTTGATTGTCCAGAGTTTATCCCACTCCATAAGATTCAAATTTTTCGAAGCACCCTTCAGCAAAGAAATGGGCATGCAATCAGGATTCATCATTTTCATATGTAAATAACACAAAGCAAGAGCTAACTAGCAGATAGTAATACCTGTTGGAGTATAAATTGTATCAAAGCCTCAACTTTCAAGCCACGGCGTACTATGCCTTGAACAGTGGGGAAACGAGGGTCTGTCCAATCTTCAACCTTCTTGTTCTGCACAAACCAAAGCAGCTTCCGCTTGCTAAGAAGAGTATAAACCATATTCAATCTGCTGAACTCATATATTTCTACTCTCCTCATCCCCATATCTTGAAGAATTCGATAGTATTGTGCATTCCTGTCATGATATTCACTGGAACGAAGAGCATGGGTCACTCCCTCCAGCGCATCAACGAATGGACAAGCAAAGTCATAAGTTGGATAGACCTTGTACTTTGAACCAATACGATGGTGAGGATCAGTGTTGCAACGGTAGTAAACTGGATCCCGAAGGGACTTGTTAGGATCCTGCATGTCAAGTTTACCCCTCACACAGCATTGCATACCCCTTTCAGAACCATTTATCATCTCTTTCCATAGAGACAGATTTTCCTCCACAGTATTATTTCTGCACTTTGACTCCACACCATCCATTCTCTCACTTCTCATTTGCTCCTTTGGTGTGTCATCAACATATGCTTTTCCCTGCTTAATCAGTTTTTCAGCCATTTCCATTAGCTTTGGAAAATAATCAGATGTGTATGTGACAGCATCATATTTGATTCCCAGGGTCTCAATATCTTTTAGGAGGTTTTCAACAAACTCATTGCTTTCTTTTGAAGGGTTAGTGTCATCAAATCGAACAATTAATCGACCTTGATATCTTTCTGCAAAGTACTTGTTCAAGAGTGCAGCCTTTGCATGACCTATATGGAGGTAACCACTGGGCTCTGGGGCAAAGCGAACACACACCTCTCCAAATTTTGCACCAGGGAGATCAACTTCTGGAGCTGAAGGATCCTTTGAGTCATTAACCTTTTCCTTAAGGTTTGGTGCAGGGGATTTCCCAATTCCTCGTTTCCCAACATAAGCAGCTATAACCTCATTCAATGTGTCTTTGTAGTCTGAATCTATGCCATTGAACCAACGGACAAGATTTTGGTATTTCTTTGATTTCCGTAGACTCTCCCATCGTTGACCAATCCCTGAAAGAGAAGATATACATCAATTGTTAGCGCACATTATGAAGCATAGGAGAAGCTTGAGAGTAGAACGTGAAAGAAGCCCATGGCTCACCAGCCAGATTTGACCATACAGTGATATCAGCAATCGTTAAAACATGACCAACCAGAAAGGTCCGAGACATCAAGTATCCATCAACAAATGAGCAGGCAACCTCAAATTCTGATCCTAAAAGGAAGGTGGGGGCGTATTCAAGCCATTCAACAACCTGCCAGTTCATTAACAACAGCAATTTAGAACACTAACAAAACAAAGATTATGAAATATGTTTTAGCAAGAACTTGGTCACAGCATACATGTCCAGACTCAATAGCATCTCGGCCATGGAGGCTTGGAGAGGATTGGGCAATGTACTCGAGAATAGGGTTGATACCACGGAGTGATTCTCTGTGTAGAAACAAAGATTCCCATGAGAAACTATCAGTTCCAGATGGTGAGTAAACCCAAAAGATAAAATAAAGGACAAGTAAAAGTAAAGTGATAATTTGGAAACTAAAATTGGTCATGTACTTCTATGTGAAAAAACAAGTACAGCACAGCCAAGTGAAAAATATAATCAAAACAATGATCATAATAATAGCCACTTGGAAAACACAAGTCAGCAATAAATTGCATTCAGTAATGATGCACAACGTTTCAAACATCATATTTTGCTAAAAAGAAAACAACATCTTTATTTTTGCCATTAGTAGCATCTCCACTTATAGCTAATCAACTCCAGATAGCTAAACAAATGCCTAGAACCTTATGCAATCCTACAAGAAGAAAAAAAAACACATACAGAGAAGAGCAGCCACTTACCCAGAACTGAAGCATAGAACGGGTGCTGAGCCCGCAGCAAGACTAGGATCTATGGACAGGGAGACACCGGCAACCTTAGCAGCAGAAATTATGGAAATTGGCGGGCTGTCCTGAGAAAACGATAACTTCGCCTCCATCGATCCTACTGCAGTAGCACAGATACGAACACGAGATTAGCGGAAATCAGAAAGCCACATCAAAATTACGCACCATCTATCAAATCATCCTGTAAACAAATCAGTCTGCACTCGCTCCACCCCCCCCCCCAACTACCATGGGCGGATCTAACATGCCAAACATCAAGGCAAATTTCTAGAACACAGAGCGAGCTAACTAGGGTTAACGCAAATTCGACAAGAAGTGAAGTGCGTGGGTCGAGAGAGAGAGAGAGATGGGAAAGAGGAGGTGCTAACCAGGATGGATGCGGCGGAAGCGGCAGGAGGACGAACGACGGGGCCCCGCTCGCTCGCGGGATTGATGGGGATCGTCGGCGGCGGCGGCGGAGGATGTGCGAAGGGCTAACCTAAGCAGGGAGGATGGACGCGGCGGAAGCAGCAGGATGACGGATGGGGCCCCTCCTACCACCTACGGATTGCCTCTCTAAACCCTAAACCCGACCGGTGTTCGAACCGGTGAATGAATCCATCGATTGGCCGGTTCTTCCATCGGTTCAATAAAATAGTAAAATTATATATTTTATTTATATTGAGAATTTTGGTTTAATCAACATAAGATATATTTCTAAAATCATGGTAGCAACTAACCCAAATAGTCAGGTGCGCACGCATGTATATAGGTAGAGATAGTAACGGGCCCAACTATTTTCCTTATAAAATTTAAGGGTTGGATCTAAAATACGATGTACTCACTTTTTTATACAGTTTTGGCATGAAAATATTTAAAGGTTAGGTAAAGTTGTGAAAGAACCCATATGCATTGACCGTTGGGGGTTTGATCCCTAGGCCACCCTAGTTCCTTTGGTTCTGCAGATAATCCGGTTTAAATGATTTTTCTCAAGTCAATTACATCTCTAGACTAGGCACTGGTTCTGTTTTTTTTTTTTTGTCAAACCCCCATTTCAGTTCGATTGTTACAACTAGGCTATTGGATGCCACTATTTTCAGATGAAATTACAAAAATGCCACTAGAGAAAGAGAGTAAATCTTTACAAATTGCTAATCACGTTGCCAACATGGAGGGGGCATGAAAATGACCCATTTGCCCTCGTTCGATCTTATTGTACATTGAGTATGCCGATAAAATGCACGTGCAATATTTGAGCAACTATATACAAACATATTTACTAGCAGATCCAATAGGTTCATTGTACTTCAAATATTTGTTACAAATTTATCCTCTCATATCTTGTTCACATTACTAAAATTTTTGCACAGGATAAATCCATAAAAAAAATTGAAACATGAAAATCTATTCATATGCTAGTATATATAGTATACAATTGATCAAATATTGTATTTGTATGTTATTGGCACATTCAATATACACTGAGGTCAAACCAGGGGTAAATGGGTCATTTTCATGTCCATGTTGGCAAGGTGACATATCCTTCCACATATGCAAATTGGCAATTTGTAAAGATTCTCTCTCTCTCTCTCTCTCCCTCCAATGGCATTTCTGTAAGTTCATCCAGAAAAAATGACATCTCACGAGTGGTAGTCCGTAAAGTGCCAAATAATTAAATTCCCGTCAGATATCAAGATAACTCACAAAGGGTCAGGAAGTCAGGATCCCCTAGGGCTAGGCCATTAAGACGATGAATTTTTATTTTATTTTTTATAGGGTTAAGACGGTGGATAAATAAGTACATTTGGCCATGACCCGATTAGGCACGGCTCACCAATGGGCCATGTCGTGTCAACCCACATGCTAAGGCCGGAGCCTAGACACGATCCAGTGAGATGTTTAGTTGTGTCGTGTCAGCCTGGTACAAATGGGTATGTAGGTTGTGTGGAGGCCCGTAACCCAAATTCGATATATACCAAGAAAAAAAGGTGAATAGAGTCCGTTGCATCCCACCGCACAAACTTCAGTAAAGCTCTAGAGAGGTCCTCCGCTCAACGATATCACATTCCTCTTCCTCCTCATCAAACACTATCATGGCCCTTCGCTTCCTACTTCCTCCACCCCGAGCTAGTGAGGCCTCAACGACCGACACATTCAGAATGGGGCAGGCCGCTCCACCACGTCACCGTGCAGGCCTACATCGATGAGCGCCCATCATCGCTTCCTCTGCCTCGAGCCCCTGGCTTCCTTGATTCTTCCCTTCTTTCCTCCTAGCTCCTGCACGATAGTAGCTGCTCAACTGGTGGTTGTTGGCCGGCGCCGGTCGTCGGTCGCCACCATGCCGCACAGCCCTGGCCGTGCTGTGCCATTCCTGGACCATGTCATGCTAGTTTGCTACATGCAATTGTCGTGTTGGCACGTGGGGCTAAGGTGGCGGCCCAAGCACAACATGGCTAGACGGGTCATGCCAACATGACTCGTAGCCAAACGGGCCATGCCATTCTTGGGTCGTGAACTATAAATACATGCCCAGGCCGATACGGAAAGACCTGGCCCATTTACAACCTATAGGACGATTTAACAAACTTATAGCCATTATTTTGTTTATACGGATGAGATCAATTAAGACACCTCATCGCACTTAATTAACTTGATTAGTGTGGAATTAAAGGAAAACTACTGTTTTAAGATGTTCCCTTCCACAACAACGATTACACTCCATCCAACACTAAAAAATAATAATGCACTCTTTACCAAAATAACATGCAAGAACAACATAATCTAGAAAACATATGCATATTCCTTTTGTTTTCATTAGATCAATTTCAAGTAGTGTTGTCCGAGACAAAAAAAAATTTCAATATGCAGAATGAGGATAAACCGATCTCACGGGGATATACACATTTATGTTACTTATCTCATTGTTGAAAAGGAAGATACATTCTCACTAAATCAATACTAATTGAGAGAGAGTTAATTAGGAGAAATTAATCTCAACCGGTAGAAATAGAGGGATGGTTGACATTTTTGCAACTATGTCGGGTGGTTTTAGCATCAACTTTAGGGGATCCACACCCCACGAGGAGTCGGAATCAACTTCGAGCATATGAGGAAATATCCTCAAGGCACCCCGCACAACGATTTTCTCTTCCTTGTTAGGCACAATTATGCACGGATACTTAGCCACCTGGGAATATGAAACATCGACAACTTTTCTAATACTTTTTATTGATTCTTTTCTTTTCATAATTCCTGTACGACGAGCATTGAAAAAACATGTTCTAAGATTTAAAATTTATAGTATAAATATATGGAATCGAAGTTGCAATATATGGAATTCACGGTACACATTTTGATTCTTTTATTGAAAAATGTGGCACCAAAAAATATAGTTAGTCATGATTAATATTACTTGCCAGACTACCAATAAAAATAATCCAATCAAATTGTTTCTCCATTTGATTCAAACCAATACACTTGTCAGCTCAATGTGCCATCCTAAGGTAGTGTTTGGTTGATGGGATGGGATGAACCCATTTTTAGGGGTGTTTGGTTCAGGGGTGAGTGGGATGGGTTGGTCCCTACAGAGGAATATTCCTCTCAGATCCGGGATCAATCGGTCCAGCCAAAACTGGCGGACGAACTCCTCCCACCTGTGACGAGCGACGGCATGAAACCGCCGCTTTGCTCGCGCGCTCTTCCTCAGGAGACGGCGGCGGTGGGCTCGGCAACGGCGGCAGTGGGGGGCTCGGCGACGGCGGTGGTAGATGGCTCGGGCGACGATGGCGGCGGTGGGCTCAACGACGGCGGCGGCGGCGGGCTCGACGACAGCGGCGGCGGGGGGCTCGGTGGCGGCTGATCCAGTGGTGGGGAGGGCGGCGGCGGCGGATCTGGTAGTGTGGAGGGCGGCGGCGGCGGATCCGGTGGTGGGGAAGGTTGTGGCGACGGATCTGGAGGCGGGGAACTCGGCGGCGGGCCGACCGTGCGTCGTCGCGCTTCTCCACCCGCCCGACCGCGATGGTGGCCGTGCTCGCCCTCCTCTCCACCGGCCTCTCCCACTCCCTCTCCCTCTCCCGCGCGGACCTCGCCGCCGTCGTCGTCGCCGAGCCGCGGCTGCTCTACGCGAAGGCCGACCGTGAGTCGTCGCGCTTCTCCGCCCGCCCGACCACGATGGTGGTCGTGCTCGCCCTCCTCTCCACTGGTCTCTCCCTCTCCCTCTCCCGCGCGGACCTCGCCGCCGTCGTCGTCGCCGAGCCGCGGCTGCTTTGCGCGAAGGCCGACACCATCGCCGTCAGCGCTCGGTTAGGTCATCCCGTCCGTCGTCGTCGCCGAGCCCACCGCCGCCGACGTCGCCCGAGCCCGCCGCCGCCGCTGTCGCCCGAGCCGTCTACCGCCGCCGTCGCCGAGCCCCCTGCAGCCGCTCATCGACGCCATCAAGGAGGCCGGCGGCGACCACGTCCGGAGGTGAGGGCAGAGGCGGCGTCGGCCATGGTTGTTGCAAACGGCGTTGTCGGTGGTTGCAAACGGCGCTCATCCCATCCCTCCCTCGTTCCTTGAACCAAACAAAAAACTGGGATCGTCCTATTCTACAAACCAAACACCCGAATGGAATCATTCCAATCCTCAAATCAGGGATGGTTTCATCCCATCCCACCTAGTCCCAGAACCAAACCTAGTCCCAAAACCAAACACACGCTAAGAGAACTTTGAGAGAAATTAAGAAATAGAGGAGGTTATTCACTACCACACACATGAAGGAAAAATACTCAAATCCGTGGTATAATATACTCAAGTTTATCAATAGTTTGGTAATATTATTAAAATTTCATAATTTAACACAAATTTGTTCTTTACCACAGTGCAGGTAAAACAAAAAATCTATCCTGGAATTGTTCTGCTTTAGGTCCCTCAGAGTTATATTTTGAATTTCATTTGCGTCCCTCGACCATAAAATTAGATATAGAGAATCCTTCAATTATCAAAAACTAGTGTCAATCGAGTCCCTCTGCAGTGTTCACTGGCAATTCAGCACCCCTCTCTTCTTTTTCTTCTCATGTGACCGACATGTGGGCCTCACTCAACCACGTAGAACAAAATCCATTATGAAACCCAGACACAAAATGGACTGGTTTTGATAATTGAGAGATGTTGTATAGCCGATTTTATGGTCAAGGGACGTAAATTAAACTCGGCCTATAGTTGAGTGACTTAAAATTCTTGTTACCGAAATTTGGTTTGGTTAAAATAGTGAATGCATCAAAATTAAATTTTGTGTAGTACTGCGAATGGAAGACTACGAAATTACCATTTTTTTGTAGAGATTAGCCAATCTGCAGGTTGCAATCCAAGTTCCGACAGAAGGACGGTAAGCAAGAAAGTGAAATTAACTAATCCACAATAAAGTGTGTAATGAACGGCGCCATAAATGGCCAAAGCACTAATCAAATGTTACTAAATCCCTGGCACTTCATCAAATTTAGGTTAAAACCGTCACCACCAAAGTACCAGAATTAAAATCACAGTTTTCATCTGGGTTTGTTCTTACAATTGTTTTGGATCTACACAAAATATATACATACAAGTTGAGGTGTTCCAATGGCGCCAGATCTTTTTCACCGGGCTTCTTTCCACATCCTGGTCTTTTCCAGGATGGACTTGCCTTCCTTGTACTTCTCGTTCTCTTTGTATGCTTTCTCCTGTAGAGTATTATAGGTGCAAATTAATAATCCAGAAAAAAAAAAGCAATGAGGTGACAAATGAATCAGTGTTAAGAGCTCAAGGAAATACTACATTTTTTTTTTAGAAAATGGATTAAAATCTGGCCTCTACATCCACAATGGATGTACACAGCCCTCAAGGAAATACTACTGTATCGAGACAATATGATAAATGAGATGTGTACCAGAATACAAAGTTATCGTGTTACTAGTAAGTATGATGAACAGGTGAGTACATGCCACGAACACATAAGTTCTTCCAGTTACAAGAAATTGAAGGAGAAGCTAGGACCAAAAGTAGCAGTCACAAGGAGCTGAAAAGAACCTTAGATGCGCAACTTAGCATATAGGTGAAGGTAGCCAAATTCAGGGTTTAAACAAAGTGAATTTCATTAGAGATCAATTCAAGCAACTTTGTTAATTAAGCGCAAATATGCCACTGTGACTGCCAAATAATAATAATAAACAGTTATTGTACTCTCCTAACTGCTAGGATGGAACCAATAGGTACAAGAACAACGCAAAATGCTAAACGACTTGCAGAATCTGTGCCTTGAACCTTCATGGGACATAGGGCTTAGAATAGTAAAATACAAAATTGATCGGACGTCACAAAACATTATTTTACACAGAATCAAGGCAACTATTACATAGTTGTATAGTTCATATGTAGTTGCAGACTTGCAGTGATGAGCTAGATATCAAGGCAAACAAAGGGTTTACACAGAATCTAGAGCCACATATTCCACAGCAATGAGCAACTAAAATCTTGAGTAACATACAAGGCCACATTATTTTTCAGCACAGGAGACCCCACACTAGTATTTGCGAATACTCCTAAAGTTTCAGCATCAAACCATATTTTCTTAAAATGTTAGCCTCATCTATGAACTGCAAAACTAGCTAGACATTAGTCATTACACCTTTTTATTATTTTGAATGGTTATTGATTAAGTGTAGGTCTAATTTATATGTGACGTTCGTTGACTATAATTGACTGGTAGCAATCTGATAATGAATGGAGATAGCATGGTCCACATCCCATGAATAAAATCATAATGAGAACAAAATTACAAATCAAACTGAGGCAAAATGATATGGCTAATTCAAAGATCGGTGTGAAGGTAGCAAATAATTGTGACAGGACAATGAGCCTATGGAAATATACGAGAATTACTGAAATGAAGAAACACTACTACTCTACAAGAAGAAGAAGGTGAAATGAAGTATAGATTGGAGTACTAGTTTTCCTATCCACTATTGTCAATTCAACTCATGCTTCTATCCAACAAATTTCTGCAGAACGCACTACGAATTTCTCCACAGGAAGGCACATACGTAATCTGCATAAGGGGCAACTATTTTTTGATTTAAAGCACTACCAGGACTTTGCCTAGTAATTATATGTTATAAAAAATAAGAGGCAACTATTATATGATGGAAGCAAATTTTCAAGATAACCTACATATCTCCAGCCAAGAATTTGCTGACAATAGCTACAATAGATGTCTCTCACGGTATACGCGCAGTCCGGTCATAAGATACCAGCCCTCATTAGGCCCTAAGGATATATTCACCCTGAAAAGTACAGAACAAAAGCATGAACAATATTGAATACATTCTACAAATAAACTGAATACATTGCGATGATCCAAAGTCAATCTAGTAATTAAACAAACTGGTCCATATGTTAGGTGGTTTCTGGAAATTAGCTCTTGAAGCCAAAACTACATCAGTATTAAGCAATTAGCTCTATTATACAGTACATTGAAGAAATGGAGATGAGCTGGTATTAAGGTGGTCGATCTTTTAGAGAAATACAGGAGGAGGCTGAGACAATAGCATGGGGATCGTGGTGAGATCTTAAGCGATAAATCAAGGGAATGATCTGAACAAGACAAAATGCTACCAAGTTCCTAAGCAAACCACCCCAAGGAGGCAATGGCTGAGGCAATCATTCATCTAAACCGATGTGCATGTCAACAACAAAATCAAGTCGATATCTGTTACTGCAACAGATTTACATCATGGCCTAATCGATTTGATATTGCAAAGCAATTCAGTCCAACATGCTAATCGACCCTGAACACAAATCTGCAGCTGTGACATTGCAATAATCTAAGAGAAGACCACGACTCCAACAGAATCCATGCAGATTGGCACAACCAAACCTTCTTTCCCCGAATTCCAGACAATCCAATCCCCCAAAATTTCTCGCACCCACGGCGATTTCCATTCCAAACCACCACGGCCAATCAACAGAACCTGCGGCCAGCCGGCCAAGAACCCAGGATCATCCAAGAATCGCTTCGCTAGGCACGCAATGCGCGAGCAAGGGGTGGAGGAGAGAGAGGAGGGGAGGCTCACATTCGTGGTTGAAGAGGTAGGCGCAGCCGAAGCAGCCATGGATGTCCCTGGAGAGGATGGCGTCCACGCGGCACAGATCAGAAATCCTTTACATTGATCGGAAATTCCGAAAGTTCATATCAGAAATTTCCGAAAGTGCAATGTCTCTCTCTCAGCCCTTTTCCTGAACTGAACATACATACCCTTTCACTTCTATTCTTGCACTCTTTCAGTTTTCACCGCCACCTCTCACTCTCCTCTAACTCCTCTCAGGCAGGCAACCTCGGTGGTGCATCCTCATTGGGAAACTCTCAGCTGAGCCGGCAAGCCTTTGCCGGAGTTCGTTGGCATCCTCGGCATCCACTTCCCAGCATCTTCACCAAGGCGTGTTTCTCTCTTTTTTGAGGTATTCTTGCCCCTTCTTTGCCCTGGTTCTTGTCCAAATCTTGATCTATGATTCTAGGGATTATCTTTCAAATCCTTTTGGTGAAGATGTTGCTATAGTCGTATAGAAACCTTGCCTAGAGTATCATTTGATTTCGTTGGCTATAAATCTAGATGTCGAGATTGTTTGGGCTATGTCTGAAAATAATGTATATTCCGATCGGGTCGATATGAAATTCCGATGCTTTTTGGAAAATCCGAAGCGATCAGAAATTCTGATCACTTATTGGAATGTCCAATGTTTATAGACCAGTTCAAGCAGCCTTTATTTTTTTATTTCAATTCTCTTGTCAATCATCTACTCAGTCATCACTCTCACTCAGTGTTCTTTCATGCTCAAGGGGGCCTTCAAGGATCAAAATTTCTGCTATTCCACTCGTTCCAAGGAGAGCTTCATGGCCCACACCAAGCACAAGACTTAGAATGGCAAGCGGCGACGGGTTCGATCTTCCTCCTCGGAGTCAAATGGTGATGATTTTGATTGTAAAGGGAAGGAGGAAACTCAAGTCGCAAATGTGGAAAGGGGTGGTGATTTGCTGAAAAGGAGGGCACCTAGGAAGCCGAAAGCTACCACCGTTGGAACAAGTCTTGCAGGTGCTAGTTCTAGTACCCAACCTGAGGTACAAGAGGAGATACCGACAATGGGTGGGGAATGTAGGGAGAAGGGTGCTCTCATCAGTCCTTTGTTCGTGCACCTCCCCGCTCGAAGTGCTGAACATGTTCGCAACCCCATAGATTGGAGTGCCAAGACTAAGAAGGTGCAGATGATAAGAGTGGAGATCCCAAAGAATGGATGCCGCTCAGCCACCGATCCTCGTTTTTGGACTCTTTTCCAGCAAGACTTCTATGAGGCGGTTATCATGAATAAGTCCAACATGCAGTGGATTAATTGGAGAGCTGCTGCCTCTTATGGCGACCCCGTGATGAATGAGGTGATTGAGGCTTGTGAGGCCATGGGGATCAAGGATTTCATGAGCATGAGATATGATTGGAGTGAGGAAATCATCTGTCAATTCTATGCCACAGTTTGGTACCAAAGGAAATAAGAAAAAGACCATGCACTGGATGACACAGGGGGAATGGCATTGCATCAACTACAGTCAATTCGCTGCTCTTTTGGATCTCACCTTTGATGATGATGAAGACAGGGATTGGTTGCATGATGACAAGGTCTTGGAGCCTCATGAGGTTGACTTCATGTACAATCATAAGGTGGAGTACGACCCTGGGACAACAAAGGGTATGCTTCCTTTCTTTGCCTATCTCAACAAGATGATTCGCAAAACACTCACTCCCAAGGATGACGATGACAACAATGTCCAATCTTACACTCACAACATTCTTGCAAGGATGAGGGCTTCTCCGAAGAAATTTGATGTGTTTGAGTTCATTTGGGAGGAGATTCGCCTCACATCTTTCACTCCTGAGTGGAGTCTTGGCTATGCTCCCATATTGATGAAAATGATTGAGCAAGTCACCAAACTTCGATTCTACAAGGAGGTGCACCACACTGGACTCAAAGTGAGGCTAGAGAAACCCATGACCACTCCTAGGAGGCCAAGGTCTACCACTAAAGCTGCACGTACTCAAGCTCCCTCCACTCCGACTCTCTCTTCTTCACTGTTGTGGAAAATTCTCAAGTCTATCTATAATGTGTGCAAGTCCAACGCCATCGAAGCCAGGAAGGGGCGAGCGGAATTGAAGAAGCAGACTACAAATTTCCTTGCTCCCCCGATGGCTCCGAGGTCAATGAAAGTGATGAAGAAGTGTTCGATGATCCCTTTGCCGACGAAGCTAGTAGTGGTGTCGTTCAGGAGAAGGAAGGTGTGGGACATGGTGATAGTGGTGATGATGGGCATGATGATTGACTCCATATGGCATTAGGTTCTCTCTCCAATTTTAATTTATCTCTTTTTGGTCCTCGATGCCAAAGGGGGGAGAGCCACATCTCTTTTCCATCTATCATTGTTGTTGGTCGGACAAATTTGGGCTTGCTTGTATGAGACAATGTGTGTTTTTATTTCCTTAAGATTTGTTCAACTTAATGCATATGTGGTGTATCAAACTATGTGATGTAATGTTATTTATCGTTTCTAGCCCATATGTGTGAATGCTGCTATGTCATGTATATATACTTTCAAGCAATCTTATGTGAAGATTTAGGGGAGCTCTCTACATGCCTATTATGCACAATTCTAGGGGAGCTAAACTTCTATCATTGGACCCAAAACCCTTTTTACATATATCTTTTTATTACATTCTAATCGAATTGTGATCGACAAAAAAAAAGGGAGATTGAAAGTGCGTCTAGACCCCTAATTATTTTGGTAGTTAATGGCAATCGAATAGGGAGGACTAACAAGTTTGTTGAGAATGTGCACAGTGAATTTAGCCCTTTGATGGTATGGAAAGATTGGTTTCAGCAAATCCAATTGGAAATGAAAAGTGTATGGGAAAAACTCCTATGGTAAATTTTTTCTCTTATTTGTGTCATAGGAAAAGCTCTACTATAAAGAGTGATATCACTTCGAAATCTAGCGTTGAAAATTTGGTGCTCAAATATGTTGCAGAGTTCCTTTCAAAACTTTCAAGTTGCTGGAATTTTCAATAGATCAGAATTTCCAATGTTATGTCGGAATATCTAAAATGACGTTCTGTAGCTCTGTTGAAGAAAATATCGGAATTTGTGATATGGTCACACAAGTGGTTTAGTTGGACAAAAAGAAAAAATCGGAATTCTGATATACACTTCGGAATTTCCAATATGGCCACACGGGGCTCTGTTGAGGAAATTATCGGATTCTCCAATGTGCTTGGAGTATGTTGTTTGGGAGTTATTTAGCAATGGATATAGTCAACAATTAGATCTATAGCTCTCAAGTATGTGTTTTGTGCATATTTGCATGTAGGTATGTCGTATACAGCTCGGCCAATCTTCAGGTTGCAATCCAAACTCCGACAGAAGAATGGTAAAGCCAGGTGAGCAAGAAAGTGAAATTAATTACTCCCTCCGGTTCTATAATAATTGACGTTTTGAACAAGGTTGAGGTCAAACTTTAATAACTTTGACCATCAATAACTTCAAAACTACTTAGTTTAAAAAAAACTAGATAAACATATATAGATTTGTCTTTCAAAACACTATTATAAAAGTAAACATGCATTTATTTATTGTGTATATTATAATAGAAAAATAAGGTCAAAGGTACATTTTGTAGACTGTGCCATTGTCCAAAACGTCAATTAAAATGAAACCGGAGGGAGTACTACTAATCCACAACAAAGTGTGAAATGAACTGCGCCATGAGTGGCCAAAAGCACTAATCAAATGTTAATCTCTGGCACTTCATCATTTTTCGGTTAAAACCGTTACCACCGAAGTGCCAGAATTTGCATCAAAAAGACAGTGATGCTCTACTTCTGTTGTCAATCTTCGTCCCCCCCAAATCAGACGCAGCTGTTTTCATCTCTTCTTTTGAGGGGGTCTAGTACTGCATGAGCAACTACAGCATGCATACAAACTTTGATCGCCGCCAAAGTTGTTGTTACAATCTTTGAATTGTTTTGGATCTACACAAAATACATACATACAGGTTGATGAGTTCCATGGCGCCAGTCTTTTTCACCGGGCTTCTTTCCACATCCTGGCCTTCTCCAGGATGAACTTGCCTTCCTTGTACTTCTCGCTCTCTTCGTATGCTTTCTCCTGTAGAGCATTATAGGTGCAAATTAACAATCCAAAAAGAGAAAATAAAACAATGAGGTGACAAATGAAGCAGTGTTAAGAGCTGAAGACTGTCACATCGAGATAATATGGTAAATGAGCTGTATTGATGCCAGAACAAAGTTATTGCATTGCTAATACGTACGATGAATGGGTGAGTACATGTCACAAACACATAAATTCTCCCAGTTATGAAAAATTGAAAGAGAAGCTATGAAAAAAAAAACAGAAGTTAGCAGTTACCCACACGCAACTGAAAGAGAACCTTAGATGCGCAACTTAGCATATAGGTGAAGATAAGCCACATTCAGGGTTTATTAAACAAAGTGAATTTCAGTAGAGGTCGGTTCAAGCAACTTTAATTAAGGGAAAGATGCCACTGTAACTGCAATAAAAAAAAATACAGTTGATGTACTCCCTTAAATGCCAGGATGGAACCAATGGGTACAAGAACAATGCAAAATTTCTAAACGACTTGCAGGATCTGTGCCTTGAATCTTCATGGGACATAGGGCTTAGAATAGTAGCATACAAAATTGACTGGAAGTCACAAAACACAGAACTTCAGATGAGAAAATAGCTGTATAATGCAGTTATTACACAGGATTACTAGAAAACTACAGTTCATATGTAGTTGCAATGATGAGCTAGATATGAAGGCAAACAAATGGTTTATACAGAATCTAACCCAACATATTCCAGTTCCACAGCAAACAGCAACTAAATCTTTAGTACCATAGAAGGCCACATTATCGTGCTGGTAACATAGGAGGCCCCACAGGCCTACACTAGTGTTTTGTGGATACTATGTTTCAGCATCAAGTTGTATTTTGTTAAAATGTTAGTCCTCATCTATCAAATGCAAAACTAGCTACTCCCTCCGTCCACTTCTCGCTATGACTCTGGACAGATACTTTTCCAAATTCATAGCCGGAAATGCTTATATTTTGGGATGAAGGGAGTATTAAACATAAGACTTTGTTATTATATTGAATGGTTATGGATTAAGTGTAGGCCTAACCTACAATAGAAAGCCTAAAACAAAGCATAATATTTTTGAAAGCTGAATTTGATGCACATTTATATGTTAAGTTTGTTGACTATAATTGACTGGTAGCATTGCCATTCACATCTGAAAAATAGACATCAATCTGAAAATTTTACATATCCAACTGAAGTACTGAACCAAGCATATTATGAATTTGAGATACATGCATATCCTATCAATTGATCGCAATGAGAATAAAATTACATAACAAACTGAGACAAAATGATGTGGCTAATGCAAAGTCTGGGCTAAGGTAGCAACTAATTATGTGATAGGACAATGAGCCTATGGAAATCTGAGAATTCTTTAAGTTGGAGTAGAAGGAAGAAATACTACAAGTAGAACTGTAGAAGAGGGTGAAAAGAAGCATAGAGACTCCTATTTTCCTATCCACTGTTTGTTCAACTCATGTTTGTATCCAACTTTTTTGTTTTCAGAATGCAACATTCTACAAGTTTCTCCACGGAATGCACATATCTAATCTGCATAAGAGGCAACTATTATATGATCATGGAAGCAAATTTCCAAGTTAACTTACATATCTCCAGCCGAGAATTTGCTGGCAACAGCTACAGTAGATATCTTTCACCGTATGCAGTCCGGTCATCAGATACCGATCCTCATTAGGCCCTAAGGATATATTCACCCTGAAAAGAATAGAACAAAAGCATAAAGATATTGAATACATTCTACAAATAAGCTGAATACATTGCCATGTTTCGAAGTGAAACGTTCTACAAATAAGCTGAATACATTCCCATGATTCGAAGTGAAACATTCTACAAATAAGCTGAATACATTGCCATGATTCGAAGTGAAAACTAGTTGTTGAAGCCAAAACTACATCAGTATCACAAAATTAGCTCTAGAATACACTGAAGAAATGGTTGAGCTGGTATTAAGGTGGTCAATCTTGTAGAGAAATACAGTAGGAGGTTGAGAAAACAGCATGGGGATCGCAGTGATATTAGGCGATAAATCAAGGGCAATGATCCGAACAAGACAAAATGCTACTACCAAGTTCCTAAGAAAACCACCCCCAAGGAGGCAATGGCAATGGCTGAGCCCATCATTCATCAAATCGGTGTCCGTTCCTGCAGGCAATCCAGAGGGGCCAAAGCTAATAAACTTGATACATTGAAGGCTTGAACAACATCCATTTGATACCGCAAATCGATTCACCCGAACATGCTAATCGATCGATCCGACCACAAATCTTCAGTTGTGACATTGCAATAATAATAATAATAATCTAAGAGAAGACCACGACGACAACAGCGATGCAAGCTAATTCCAGCAGAATCCATCCACATTGTGGCACAACCAAAGCTTCTTTTCTCCCCCATTTCCAGCAATCCAATCCCACATCGATTTCCATCCCAAAACGAAGGCCGAATCGACCACCGCAAGATCCGATTCGAACACACCCCCACCACCAACGAAACCCCCTTGGGCCAAAGATCATCATCATCATCATCCCAAGAACCGCCTAGCTAACACAAGGCACACGCAATGCGGAAGCGGGAGAGAGAGGGAGGACGCGTACACGTGGTCGAAGAGGTAGGCGCGGCCGAATCGGCCGCGGAAGTCCCGTGAGAGGATGGCGTCGGCGGAGGCGGCGTCGACGCGGCACCGGCGGCACTTGAGCACCGCCGACGCGGGGCCTCCCCCGTCGCCGTGCCGCGGGAGCAGCTCCACGAACAGCAGCCCCATCACCGGATCGACCGATCGAGGGGGGAGCGGGGCGGCGGCGGCCGGAATCAATGGCGAGTCGCCGGCTTCTTCTTCTTCTTCCCGGAGGAATGGAGAATAAGCTGGTTATTACCGTACAGTTTATTGGACAGAGGGAGGTGGTGTTTATTTACCGACAAGTTCTTTCTTTCTATTACTGTCTGTACGTATATCCGTAATTCATCCGTTACACGATATAAGATTTTCTAGTATTACGTAAATTCATATAATTAGATACTAATGATTCTAGGCATATATAGAAAACATAATCAGTAGATAAATCTAGATAACTAAAAAAAGTCTTACAATATAAAATGAGATGGAGGGAGTAATATTTTGGAATATTGGATATGTTTGGTTTTATTTTCTTGCCAAAATAAATATTTTTCGAGTTTGGTAGTAGTAATAAGAAAAATATTAAATATAAATTACCAGAGTTTGGTGGTGGGAAAAAAACAAAGGTTATTTGGATTTTCTAGTTTTGAAATTTATAAGATTATAATTCGACTAATTGAAAAGATGCCGCTGCAGTATTTCTAAAATTGGATACATGACATGTTGTACATTTTTTTCTACCGTATTTTTAGACTAAAATATCACGTCTCCTACATCTCGTACAATCAAGCACCATAAAAAAAATCAAATCGTATGGATCCATGCCGCTGCGACGAGCTCGTTGCCACCGCCGTACTGAGCTGTTGCTGGACACGCCGTCTCCAAGATCTCGCTGACGCTGCGACGAGCATGTCACGCTGGGAGTGGTCTCATGCACCGGTTTGTCGCCAGATGAGAGAGGAGGCGGGTGGGGAGGAGCGACGAGCACGCGGATCCAAGCCCCCTTGCCTCCGTCGTCATCGGATATGCATCGCCTGCCCTAGCATGGACATTGAATCCCGGAGCAACGCCCGACACCAGCAAGAGGCAGCTCACTGGGAGAGAGAGAGAGAGCTGCTCCTACTCTAACGAGGGAGAAGACAATCTTCGTCGCGTCGGATCCACACCACCTTCCTCCTTACCCGGACATGGTTGGATCTGCTGCGCTCAAACACCCTCGCCGGTCACGGCCCGATTTGCCACTGGCGAGAGCAACGCTAAATCCCAGAGCATCGCCCCCACACCTTCACATTCGACGAAGGCAGCTACATCGGCCCTACCTGAGGAGCCCGAGAGTGCTAACTGCTACGTTCAACTCATTGGAGGTGCGGAGACAGTGGAACTCGGCGACGAGGAAACGCGTGGGCGGTGGAACTCGACGATGGAGAGGCGACAGGGCGATACGGGATGGTAGACTCGCTTGTGTCGGCTATCAGCAGCCCCTCCACCTAGAGAGAGAAGTATGAAAGAAGGGGATGAAGAACATGGGAATTTTGTTCTAAAAAATAGAAAATGCTACGTAGTGGCATATTTTGAGTTCCTATGAAATTGTAATGGCATGGATCTAAATAGATAAATAATAGATAAATAATGATGGTATTTTTCAAAACCATGAAAATTTTAGTGGCATGAATCTAATTAACCAAAAAAATAGACTGATCATGTTTGGTTTGAGACCTAATTAACTCATTTCCGAACTTCTACCTCTTGTTTTCACGCACACACATTTACCGAATTGCTAAATGATGTGTTTATTTTTTGCAAATAATTTATATAGAAAATTTGCTTTAAAATTCATATTAATCCATTTTTAGAGTTTATTTTAGTTAATACCCTTCCGTCCCAAAATATAAAAGATTTTGGGTGGACGTGACACATCCTAGGCTTCGTATCCAGATTCGTAGTACTAGAATGTGTCACATCCACCCAAAATACCTTATATTTTGGGATGAAGGGAGTACTTAATTAATCATGCTCTATCTGCCACTTCGTTTTACGTGCTGGAGTAAAGGTTACTAACCCTCACTCCCGAACTTGGCCTAACCATGCTGCCATTGTTTTGAATATTATATAACCCTGAACCGATTAAACTACCCATCCGGATTTTAATCACATAAGTACTCATATTTATAATTAATTATTCTTTCAGGATATACGACACGTTGACAACAAGACGTCTGTTGTGGTGACTCTGTCAATACTAAGACATGAGAATCAAGTATTCGAAGATGTATGGTGAGTGTATCGTGTGTGCGTGTATATAAGCACTAAGCGTCTGTTATGGTGACTTCGTCAATCTATCTTCGTAGGTGTTTATATGGGTAGGGTGAACAAAATTCCAAAAAATTATTTTCTATCCTTGTTTTATGCGACAATTAAATTATACATCTATCAATGTCATTATATGAGTAAATATGTATCTGTGTACCTTATGTATCACCGTATCAAGTTACTACGGACCTGTTCAGATTGGTACCATTTTAAACATATCATTTGTTTGGTAAATTGACAATCATATGACAATTAGTTTGCTGCCAACATTTGTAATATCTAGGGAATTTTGGCAACATCATATGTAACCCATTCTACATTTCTACTAAGAGCATATTTAAACTGCTACTAAAATAAACCTTATAAAAATTTGAAAATGCTAAAATTTTAATAGGTTGACAACATTATCAAGTTTTGGGTGGATGGCAATATTCCTTTCACATTACCAATGTTTAGTACTACCTCCGTTTCAGGTTATAAAACCTTCTAGTAAGATTCATTAACATATATAAGAATGTGGGCAATGCTAGAAAGTTTTATAATATGAAAGTAGAAAACTAAATGTAGTCATATGGTTATGAATTTTATCAAACAATTATATTGTTTAAAATGACACCAATCTGAACAACCCCTAAAACTTAGCAATGTTGCAATGTTGCTAACTTGCCAAAATTTTTGCTGCCAAATTTTAGAAAAGTTTATTTTGGCAGTAATCTAAACATGCCCATATCTTAGCGGGTGGGGATTCCCTGGAGTTCACTCCAACTCCACCCGATGGATTTGATCAAATCTCAGTCGTCTCTATATAACAACGGTTGGGATGAACTAACTAATTCCCACTACTTTTTTTTCATCCTAATATTTGTAACAAATCAACAAATACTATATATCTAAAGAATATACAAACTGATTTTACTTGCATAACCTAGAAATTTCATGGTTCATCCACGATATAAAAATCATATTGGGCTTGTGGCTCTAATGTTTTAGCAATATTTTTGTGTGTATATGGTTTATGCATGTTTACATGTACTAAATGTTTAACATAGTTTTATACATGACCATAGCTTCTTGTTTGGAGAAGAAGAAAGCGTGCAAACTTTGTTAATGTTGTTGGCAGAAACATACTCATTAGGAACATAAAAAGAAGAAAAGGTAAGTAATTTTCATTCAAGCCACTGGTAGAGATAACCTTTTTACTCCCGGTTGGTAACTCCCTATAGTCCCAATTTTCTAATCGGGAGTACGAATCCAGGACTAAAGATCGCTATCTTTAATCCCGGTTCAAATACTCGGGACTAAAGATAGATCTTTAGTCCCGGTTGGTGTTACCAACCAGGACTAAAGAGAGGAATCTTTAGTCCCGGTTGGTAAAGAGAGGGTAGCGGCAATGCAGATGGTCCTTTTTTTATTGTTTTTTAGAGTTAGTCCCTATATTTTCTCCTGAATCTAGTGCTATGTATATCCCCAAATCCCTAATTCAAAGTAACATCCCAAATCTTAAGTTACTTATACACATAAATCAAATATATCACAAATCCTAAAAAATACACCGAAATCAAATACATCACAGATTCATCTCAGATCTGTCACAAAATTATACATCTCAATCAATCACAAATTATTAAAAAAAGGAAAGACGTCGGTCGTCAGACGAGAGGGCACGGCCGCCGTGCGCGGCACCTCCGGCCGCCTGCCCACCGCCGGGCGCGCCCCCTCCGGCCGTCGCCGCGCGCGGCACCTCCGGCCGCCTTTCCGCCACCGGGCGCGCCCCTCCGGCCGCCGCCGCGCGCGGCACCTCCGGCCGCCTTTCCGCCACCGGGCGCGCCCCTCCGGCCGCCGCCGCGGCACCTTCGGCTGCCGCCTGCCATGGCTGCCGCCGGGCGCGGCCCCGTCGGCCGCCGGCCGGATGGGAAGGGAGGAGGGGGAGGAGGAGAGGTTAAGTTTGAGGAATTTGAAGGGAAGAGGATAAGTGTGAGGAAGGGGAAGGGATATGTACGTGTGAGGATGTTGTTGCGATTGTGGAGGAGAGGATAAGGAAGAGGGATTATATACTACGCATTAAAGATCATATTGATCTTTAGTCTCGGTTAGTATTACCAACCGGGACTATAAAGATGATTTTTAGTCCCTAAAGATCCTCGGTCACCTGACATCCTACTGACATGGAATGAACCGGGACTAAAGACTAAAGATCATAAAATAGCTATAGGGTTTTTAACCGGGACTAAAGATGATTTTTAGTCCCAGTTTTTTTGGAACCGGGACTATCGTGGTTTTGGGTCGACCTAGCAAAGATCGTTTCTCTAGTAGTGAGCATATGTGATTGAGGGAGTTAATTAATATAAGTTAATACGTGGCTTCATCTTAGCCAGAGGAAACAATTGATGGCATGGATTTGGTCAAATCCACCTGGTGGAGTTATAGCTAACTCTAGGGGATCTGGACCCCATCTTAGCTTGGGCCAATTTTAGTTCCAAAACTTCCAACTTTTCCATCACATCAAAATTTCCATACACACATAAACTTTCAACTTTTCCGTCACATCGTTCTAATTTCAACCGAACTTCCAATTTTAGCGTGAACTAGACACACCCTTGGTCATGGTTTTGTTTGGTGGAATTCTGCCTATGGTAAAAATTCAGGGTAGGTTTCTATTAACACGATCTTCAAAATACAGCCTTGATAGTCAACTTCTATTACAAAAAGCATATAAAAACTCCTATAAAATGTTATACTTTTGAGGACAAACTAGATATAAAATTTCCATACATCTCTTTAGATGTTTAAAAAAGGTTTAGGTTTTAAATTTTGGCGACCAGATGGAGTGTGTCTGTGTGGTTCATCGCGACCATGATAGAGATTAGAGAAAAATGCATCTTGTGGAAATCACGACCAAGAGAGTATATTAAACAAAACTACAGAAGGATTTAGTTTAGACGATCATGTTGCATATTTCGCATTTGCGCAGCTAGAAAACTGCATAAAAGTATAATCAAGCGTATACACTTTGTCATTAGAAATAGCAATCAGCAAGATCAATCCTATTCTCCTTAAAAAAAAAGATTAATCCTATTCAACGGAGTTGTATAGGAAAAATTATAGCACTGCGATGGCCATCATGCTCCAGGCAGTCTCTCATCAGAAAAATTCTTCAACCTGAGCTATTTTCAAGCATGCAGAACACCATGCTGCTGCATACCAAAGGCGCACGCACACACAAAATAAAAATATATATATATGTACTAACTGCATGATACAACACAGGTACACAAATACACGTGCCAGAAAATAGCATCATTAACAGACAATAATACTGATGTTATATAGCATTCACCCAAATTTACAAGCAACTACACAGGTACACAACTGACATAGAAAACTAGCAGCCAACTTGGGCCTGTCTAGCTTGATCACTGAACATTACAACATGTCAAACCTAAGAGCAAGAGCATCCAGCCTTGGATGCAATACCAGATTCCTATATTATACATATTTAGCATGGATAGAACAAGGTTACGACTTCTATGCTACGATTGTCGCACCAGCTGATGTTGAGTATCTCAGATGATCAGATAAGCGTTGAATTAGATGGATGGTGAGCATGGGGAGAATTGAGGACTAGAGATATCCACAGTTATAGTTTGCATTATTCTACACCACTGCAAAGCAAAGCTCGTGTTACATCTTGCACCTGCAAGCTGGAGATGGAGATGTGATGGGACCTGCGAAACGATGGCAGTGTACAAATTAAGCATATGATTTCAGATGTAGGAACATGCAAAATAATTTAAGTACAAATCACTGGAAGATGAAAAATTGTGAGATGCAAACAATGCACGTACATGAGCTTCTTCTTCCAAAGACATGTCAACACCATGCAGAAGATACAACCAATACTCTGTTCTTCCATCCAAGGTAAAGAACACCATCTCGCTCCTCAAGCCTGTAGAAGCTATTGTAAGTATGCAACAGCGTTTTGATGGTACTGTTCACCACTGAACTCAGCGGGTATGGCCGAAACCCTGCCATCGTTAATCTTGCCTTCCATTTTCCAAAGACCTCATGCCTCTCTACCCTCTCAGCACCCTCACATGCGATTAAATTGACAATGTCCCGCGCCACACAGTGTTGCTCTGCGCTCATCCGTCTCTTATCATCCCTTGGGAGAGCGACATCTATCGACTCAAACATGGCTGTGTAGTAGTCAAGAGTCTCCAAGTATCTTGGGAAGAATGGCCGTGTGTTTGTATTTGACTCCTGCTCAACAAGAGTCACCAACCTAGGGGAGAGGCTCTTGACCATTCTTAAAATCCTATCCCGATGGTTTTCTGTGCTTACACTTTCATCTGGAGTGTGATGCAGCTGATAGGCAAAATTCACAACAATAACTTCACCAACTCTTATATCAAGATGCTCAAGATAAACCTCATGGCTAGCAGCTGGAACAGCATTGAACTCAAAGGGCAGACCAAAAGACTGAGCAACTTTATACAATCTCATACCAACTATATCCAGTCCACCACCTCTGGCGTAAGCAGAATTCGAGTCATCTATACCAGTGATTCGTAGAAATGGTGGTCCTCCAGGCCTCGCTGCAAGGGCCTGTATTAATGTCATCCATTGACTCCCTTGTGCAATTTGGAAGTCAATTATGTGAACAAAGTTCTCTCCCTTAATAGCTTCAGCGATGGCGCCATTAGCTGACATATAACCAAATTTGAAGAATGGGCATATCTCGTAAAGAAGATGCATGTATGACATGAGCTCAGAGCTTGTAGGCTCCTTACACTTCAAGGATTTATATATCTTACTGCCAGAGGAAGAAAGTCTGGCAACAAGGCCTTCCAACATATAAGCCCCCAATCGTTGCAATGGATCACCAGAGACAGACACCATCTGACCTAACTCAGATATCAGTAGTTCTGTCAGCCGAACATCATTCTCGGCAACAGCCTTGCCACATGCTATGATTACTTGCTTCAAATCTCCTGTATTAATTCCCAGAAGCTGTCTCCAATTTTCTGGTGTTGCCATTATGTTTGGTTGCAAGGCGCTCTCAGGGCTGTCATAAGCTATGTCTAGCTCAGGCCCAAGAATTGCATTCTCCAGCTCCCTCAGTTTAATCTGGAGATCTGTAATCTCTGTGACACAGGATGCACTTGGAGGGGAATTGTACGTGTGGTCTGAGTGGCTATCATGATGAGACAGGGGGCTCCCGCTAATAGGAGAGATGCTGTGAGAAGATGCAGAGCTATGGGCAGGATGAGCACCATTTGCTGAGGATGATTCTAGAGTGCAGTACGGCGCTTCAAATGCTTGAGGGCTCGAACCAATCTTCTGTGACCCATCATCAGAAGAAGCGTAGTGAGCATCCTGATGATTTTGTGTTATATAGAACCTACCATTTCCCCCTGAAGGCACTGAGTTATTATAGTACGGCATTTGAGAATCATCTGAACATATATATGCATGGTTTGAAGCCCTAGCTGACATACTGGTGAAATCTTGTGGAATGGTACTCAACAGGGAGTTGATCCTGCCGTCCTTTTCACAAACATGTTCAGTATGTTGATACCATCAACTGCAATACAAACAAGATTGATCCATGTAAGAGACGGATACATAAGCACATTGTTAAAAAGGTTTTTTCATTTAACACCTAAGCTTCATATCGACTTCCACTATGCCATAGCATATGGTGTTCAACTAAAATTATATTTTGGAAAGTACGATTAAAGCAAACAGAATCAAGGGTATTTGTTCAATGGATTAGCTTTCAGCATAAGTTACATCTGAAATCAAGAAATCTTGCTAATCAATGAAATAGTTGGGACTTGGGACCCGCTTTGTAATAGATACGCAGGCATGGCCATCAACATATTAGCTATAAAAAGCAGCCAAAGACCAGACATAGGTCCCCAACATTATAAATGCAATTGGGAACCATTACAAACAAGAAGCATTTTTTCACATTACAAGTTATTAATGGCATGTGACCTCTTGCTTCAAAAACAAAATAAATAACCCATATAAGAAACTTAATCTTTGTTACCTAACAGGCCCGTTTGGTTCAAGCAAAGTAAGCTCAAATCATAAGAAACCTGCGCTATCGTGTTTATCTTTTATATTTCATAATTACAAAATCGTGTAACTATACAAAAGAACCACAATATGCTATTACCAAATTAGGGGAAAAAGGGAACCATGTGACACAAGAAAGCTATCCAAAAGAACCAGTTTTGTTCAGAATTAATGGAAAGCTATCCAAGAAGTTGATTAACTAGAAACACAGCAATAAATGTCCCAAAAGTTCAGTTCTACTGGGTCAACTAATTAATTTCTGTTCCAATGGATCCGGCAGGATGCGAAGAAATTGGTAGGGCATTGATCCCATTAGGCTGGCATTATGACAACTTTTCGCTAGCAATTGAGAGATCAAAACTCCCAAACATGTGGAGATCAGAAAAAAAGGCACACAGGTCACTACTACTTCTGGTCAGAAGCAGAACCCCTATATGAAAAAGGAGAACCTAGGAATGAAATCATTGGTGCTTAACTCCTGTGTATCTAACAGCAAACCAAACATAAATATTTTACTACATTAAAACATAAAAAATATACTAATATGATAAACCACCCTAAGACTAGGGCCAAAGCAACTAAACCTACCTCGTTCTTTAATCTCCCAACTCAAGGGTCTCACTTTCACCATAGGGTTTGGAGTCAAGATACACACAGAGCCAAGAATCCATGGCAAATTGATTAGAAGAAACGATTTACATAACAAACCAACAATCAGCAGCAAAATACACCACACACCCCTCATGACCCAAAATTAAGACGAACTAAATACTAATTATCACCACCAACCCCGGAGAAGCTACATCAATCGCACAACCCGAAATCACCCCCCAAAATCAAGAACAGCAAGAACCGCGAGAAAGAGAAGAAATGACATACCATCCCAAGAAACAGGCGTCCTCGAAGCCGGCCAGATCCTCCACCGGCAACAGAGGTAGAGGGAGAGAGCAGCAGGAGGAGGGAGGAGGAGAAAGGGGAATCGGGGAGGTAAAAGCGAAGGGAAGGAAGGAGGCGTGGGGGGTGGAGTGGAGAAGACGACGACTGCGGCTGCTTCGCTCGGTGACGGAACGGATGGATGGATGGTCTAAAAAAGACGTTTTTTTTTTCTTTTTTTTTGTTGAAAGAAAAAGAAAAGCAAAAGGGAGAATGAACTGACGGCCAGACAGTTCGCCGCCGAGGAAAATCACTTTTTTATTATTTACTTTTATTTATTTATTATTTATTTATTTCCACTTTTCGTTTTGTCCTTTATTTCCCTTTTCCCTTGAACGAAAAACTAATACGCGCACGCCGCAATGCACACACTCCATGCTAAGCTACTCACTAATGCTTCCTCTTCTGACTCATGTTATGAGCGACAACTTTCTCTTACTAAAGCTCGGCTCCCGTAGTTTCTCCAATTCAGCATCAACCGACGTTAAAATTTAAATTTTAAAAGTTAAATTTAAAGCTGATTTTAAAGTTTTTTCATCAAAAATTATTTTTAGCATTGGTATTTAAGTCGTCAAGAATTTTTTTATCAAAGATTATTCTTCAGCGTTAGCATTTAAGTCATCAAGAATAAACACACAGATATATACATATATATATATATATATATAAGTTTTACCCATAAATTATTATTATGCTAATACGTATCTGGTCAAACGATGAGAGCCTTCTATTTTAAATTCCCCCTAAATATATATTGAAAACGTATTCACGTGTTTATAAAATTCAGGATTTAAGTCTTGTTGAGTGGCTATAACATTAATATTTTATTTCCTCTTTCGTTCTGGGAGTAGTATATATTTTTTTTCTGGGCATTTTTTGTGTTGCAGCGCAGCCGTGGTAATACGAGCGCGTGATGTGGTGGACTGGTGTGTGTATGTCGTGTTGCCCGTGTTCTGTTTCGGATGATGGCAGACAACGACGATGTACCCTGTCCAACCCATCCATCCACCACCATCACAGAAAATCCTTTTGCTTCAAGCATTTCCCTCTATTAATGGCATGCCGTCACTTCAAAACCGTATCTTGACTTATATGACGACGGCCATTTCATCGAATTGTCCAAATGCGTTTTTATTCAATATGAGTTTTATAAATGACGAAACATGTTTTTTAAAGAAATATTAGTTTTCAAAAATCATGGACAAAGAAGCAAGTTTTTGTGTGAGTTAGAGACAGGTTTTAGTACCTAGCAAATATAAATAATGATGGGAAGCCGATGAAGAAAGTAGCTAAGTTCTAAAGCTATTCGGAAATGCTACCTTTTTCGCCAGAAATATATCGGATTGTTAAGCAATACGTTTTGTACAAAAAAATTTTCTATATAAAAAAGTTTTAAAAAATTAATTAAATAAATTTATCAAAGTTTATAATATTTAATACTCAACTAATCGGACGTTAATGTCCTATATTGTTTCATGTGGCAAAAAATCCTATCTGAATATCTAATTCGAACTAATTCTAAATGTTTTTTCAAGGGAGAACCATCAGACGTTGCGCATTAATTTCCATACAATCCAACACTATAAATACTAATTTGGAAAAAAAAAGACTTGTAATAATTGTTTATACCAAACAAACATTTGAACTCTGTTTTTTCTATAAAAACCGGTTGCTAGTACTGGTTTCCAGACAGAAAATATTTTTTTAGACACGACTAGGTTGCCACTTTTGATAGACATAACGGTTGAGCATGAACCCTGTTCTATTTCTCCTTTTGATATGTAACCATGGATAACTTACAAAAGAAGATGGATTTGATACATATTCAAAAACTAGAATCAAAATTAGTTTTGCCAATATATTGTCAGGGATCTACCGCCTGGCAGCCCTGGACAACCACCCAAACTCGTCGGGTGGATGTGGAATAGAATTTAAATGTTTTTTTATGAATTAGAAATGAAGTTTTCATAGCAAACACTTGATATAATGAGATTTGCTTAGGATCTAAGGGCCCCTTTGAATTGGAGGAAAAACATAGAAATTTTAGAGGATTTCAATCCTATAGGAAAATTTCCTATGATGCCCTTTGAAACAAAGGATTGAATTCTATCTAATCCTTTGAAATTCCTATGAAATGGACATTCCTATAGAGATTTTAGAGGAAATTTAGCAAGAGCTTCAACCTCTTGGTAACTTTCCTTTGAGTCTATCTCTCTCATCCAATTCCTGCGTTTTTCCTGCGGTTGAATCAAACGGTCATTCCTGTGTTTTGTTTTGTAATCCTCTGTTTTACACTTATATTCATATCGAAATCCTACGTTTTTCCTATTCCTATGTTTTCTCAATCCTGCGATTTAAAGGGGCCCTAAAACTTTTCTGGATCCACCCCTACGTACTTGGTCACCGTCTTACGTGTGATAACAAGCATGAGTAAAATATAGCCTCGGCATTCCCTGAAAATAATATAACCTATGCTCATCATTTACCATCATCATCAATTAAATCATTCTCTCCTGCTTTTCCATAAACCTAGTATTGTAATGTGCAGCCAAGTTGACATGAAGAGCTGATCGCTAAGAAGTTGGGCTTCAATTTAAACCAAACCCCGCGCGTTGCTGCGGGAGTTTAGTATAATAACGATAAGTAAAAATAATATGTAAGATAGCCAGAGTGCTTGACAATATAAGATTACGTAAGTTAACATGGTTTATGATAATTTAAATTTAAATAGTATATAGAATGATGATTCAAATGTAAAAGGAAGATCATATGACTTTATAAAAGAAGAAAAGTATTGAGATAGTTTGGACCGTAGATTAATCATCTAAATGCTAAATATAATTGAGGTGATATAGATTAATGAGAGAAGAAAATGAGAGAGATAATTTGGACCATAGATTATTCATTTAAGCACTAAAAACCAATTGATGTGATATAGTGATATAGCATAACGAGAGAAAAGAGAAATGATATTGAGAATGAACTATATAGGTACATAACATATTATAAAAATAATAAAGATATATATTGAAATATTACGTGAATTACGTGGGATGATGATTTAACATGCTTACATTTTAAAAGCTATAAAATTTAATAAATTATAAAATTATAGATTATATAGCATGTTTGTATGATGTTTAAATTTAATGATTATTAGTGGATGATGATATGGCATCTTTGCATGTTAATTTTTTGAAGTTAGTGTATTATAATTTTATAGTAAGTGAGGATCAGAGTAACCATTCGAGAAAAAACTCTCAGGTAGCCTCTGTATCCGCCTCCATGCCTTATCCCGACTGATATTCCTTCACACACGCTCGCCAAAAGTAGCGAAAGGTATTATCTCTTGCTACAGCATCCGTCTCTGCTGCACATCCAGAAGCAATTACGATTATTTTTCTTGAAATTCTCTCGTTACTAAAAACAAATTTTTCCTGACGGTCATTTTAAGTTTTCTCTGGCAGCCGACGCTACCGTCCACGACTAATGACCAATGAAAATACACCATTTTCACTTACGGCTACCAGCTACCAACGTAGATGGATTTTCATTGGCAGACGACCTAGTCCAGCCACCAGCGAAAATGGTTTTGGCTAACGGTTAGGTTAAGCCAGCCTTCTGCGAAAAGAAGATTTTCACATGTTGCCGGTTAAAACGATCGCCAGTGATGATGTATTTTGGCAAAAAAGAAAAACCACATGCATATGGATGCTCATTTCCACGGATCAAACACGACATACAAATCAAAGCATCAGCATCATCTCTGGTATGGAATATAAAATGCAAATCATCTACATCAAATAAATCTGCAAGAGAATGGGAAGATCATGCACACAGAAAAATTCACATCTAGCAACCCTAGCTCCCAAGCATCCCCAAATTCAAATCAAATCTGCACGGAGAACGGAACAAGCATACTAGGGGACCTCTAAACGAGCACTCTAGATATGTGAGTGGAGGGGCAGCCACTACTGTGCCCCTCTGCTGTTGCCACCGCCGGCCTCCTCCCCTCTCCCTCGAGCCAGATCTAGAAGACGGGGAGAGGGAGGGGAGGGGCGGAGAGGGGACTCAGGGCTCCATAGCCACATCGATAGTAACGGGAGGTGAGCGGCGGCGGATCCGCCTCATTCCTTCCTGCCGTCGGATCTGCCGCCTCCCGCCTCCCATCACCAATGCTGTTGTGGCCGTCGTCACCGTCATCATCGGTGAGAGTTGAAGGAGAGGGAGAGGGAGTGGTATGGGAGAGTATTTAAATAGAGTGGATTTGTTTCTCGAGCGGTGCTTGCTACCACCAATGAAAACCCAATTTTCGCTAGCGGGCGCTTAAGAGGTCTGCCTAAAAAAATAGAGTTGTTTTTTTTATGATGGACCTCCTAAGTATCTGTCAGCGAAAATCGGTTTTCGCTAATAGCTCGTGACCCAGAATCCTCCATATATTTTTACAAGCGTTTATTTGTTTTGTTAGTCCATCAGCAAAAATAAAAGGCTGTGATGCCATGAAAAATCGTATTTTAGTAGTGTCTTGTAGTCTTATTCATGTGTTTCTCGTTTATTTGTTTTGTAGTCTTTTAAAAGACTGGTGGTGTATGAGACCAGTATACACGAGTGCTATACTCACTGTATATGTGTTGTCTCTCACTGTATATGTGTTGTCTCTGATGGTTTTCTTCTTTTTCACCTTGATTCAAGTGAAAAACTCATGAACATCTTAGTTTTATTTGTAGTTTTTAATTGGTCACGCTGCACAACTTATAATTAATACGTGTTCTATTGTCAGGTGAAAATGCATTTAAGGATTTATGTCTCACTTTAGAAAACTACAACCCTAAGCATGTCTCTGTTCTTTTTGTTTCTTAAAGATGAAGCATTTTTTTTAATTACACAGTACAACGCAGACACTCACAACGCACGCACACTC